TGTTTTCATTAGAAATCCGTTGTTAGTGGTTATTCATTATATTGGTATGCATGAAACTTTTGCATCAGTGAATTTTATAAATTTTTTTACATTTTATAGGTGATTCTCAGAAAGGTGTCTTGTTGAAAACCATCACAACACCGAAATCTATCCTCAACATCATTGATGAAAAAGTGAAAACAACTGCCCCAACAACAGTATATCGTGAGAGTATTGGATCATGCGAAGGTATAACTACAATTAAAAATGCGAAACAGATACAAAATCGCCGAAATAAATATCTTCAGAAATTTAAATTGTCGCATGATGAGTTATTTAGTACATATGAAATTGGTCTTCAAAACAAAACATTCGTGCAACAACTAACATTTATTCCTCATTTATTAGTTATATGTGCACATGATAAAAGCATTGAAATATTCAATCGTTTATTAGAAACAACAACGACACCAATAATACTAGCTTATGACACAACTTTCAACTTAACCGATGGTTATGTCAGGTTTGTTATTCGATTTATCTTTGATCTGCATGACTTGAAATACGTGAGAAGTCGGGACTCAGTGAGTCTAGTCATGCTTTCAGTCTGAGTCGAGTCCTGAAAGATCCAATCAAAGGCTGAATCTTAACAGAATAAATCGTAGATGTTTAAAATAGCATATTTAGAAGTATCACTGAAAATTGAGGTTTGATTGAAGAAAGAGAGCTTTTGTAAAAGCGCTTTTGACAGAAATTCCAATTAGAATACTAAAATTTCTAAGAGACCCTTTTTCAAAATGGCTATGATGATCAGTTATTCTTAGTGGTTTCGAAAGGCAGGTTTTAACGTGTCAAGGAACGCCTGAAAAAATACATAAACATGGTTACAGTAGTTATGATTTTGCAAAAGAACAAACGGTTAAAAAGTTCCTTTTATAGAAAAGAGAAATAAAATTAAGAGGTGATGTTTTGGTCAAAGTTAGCTTCAGGGAAATTCAAAAAGCCGAAAAGTAACGGGTGACCTATAATAAACGGGTCAAAATATTTTTCTATTTTTGAGGTACTTCCTTTTAATACGGAGACTTAACTCAGGGCTCATGTGCTAAAGAATTGAAAGCTCTACAAAACTGTCATTTCTGTTTTTCAAATACACTTTTTTTCTTAGTAAAAAATGTAAAAGATTGGCACATGCTCAATTTCAAATTGCGACAGGCAGAAATTGATAAAATGATCATATATTTTTTAGAAACAGTTTGTTTGAAATTTTACGTATACCATTAGATTCGCCGTGAACTTCTACGTCGTTATATGTATCTCGTAAAATTTTGAAACAGATGTTCCAGGAAATTTTTTGGATTAAAAAATGTGGAATTACACAAATAATTAATTTTCTAACAAACGTTTTGAACTTATATCTTAGAGTTTCTGAAAAATTACAGTTTTCACTTTTTAAAGTAGACACACATTTTGTTCAACATTGCATTCGGCATTTAACTGTGTGAAAATAACTTTTTTGCACAACCTGGTTCCGAAAAATCCATTTTCCCGAAAACGTGACGGAAACACTACCACCTCTCAGTTTTTAGCCTATTTTGCCAAACCATAACAGCAAAAGTTGAAAAGAGTGTTGAAATATACAGAACAAAATTGCCTTTCGATTTATGCTAAATTTACATTTTTACTAGCAAACTTCATCTGGAACAAAGGAGTACAAATGGAATAGATAGATATTCAGAAAAACGTCGACGTACGACAAGTACAACGATAGCGTGTTATATCATTTCTTTAGAATTTTGTGACCCGTTTTACCCTGTAGTCTCTTGATTCTAGCTCACTCATTTATCGGCACACTGCATTTGTTCAATCACCATCAATAGTGCTTGCTTATATGATTCATGAGACAAAAGAACAAAGATCTCACTTGCAAATGATTCAAACATTAAAATATTTATGCCCAAAAATAGGGATAAACTGTGTGCTCGTTACCGACAATGAAAAAGCATTCAAAAACTGTTTTGCACAAGAATTCCCAGCATTGTTGCAATTCCGATGTTGGAATCACATGATGAAAAATATTTATCGTCGAGTAATGAAGACAAAAACATCCGAAGAAGAAGAAGATCAAGAAACACAAGTAGTTGATGATGACAATCAACATGGTAGTCGTTCGTCAGAAACGAAAAAAATACTTAGCAGCCATCTAATTCTAATCTATTCTTTTACAGATGGTATTCAACAACAAGAACAACCTTTACAAGAAACAAATGATCGAGAAGATGATGGAAATGAAGATTTTAACGAAGATGATGAATTGGAAATTGGTAAAAAACCTAAAAAGGCACATTTATGGTTACATCACGCAGTTCTATTTTTAAGAAATAAACGATTTTATTCACACACTT